AGTAGGCCTTCTCCATCATGAGCTTGGAGAGCTGCAGCGTGCGGGCGCCGACTTGGGTGGGCACGCTCACGCAGGCCTTGCTGCGGTTCGTCTTGAGCGTCTCCACGAAGGCCAGGAACCCCTCCGAGTCGTTGATCTGCAACTCGAAGTTCGTCACGGAGCTCTTGCCCACAGCCCGCTCGAACTTGACCGGGTCCACGTAGGCGTTCGTGTTCCTGAACTTGTCGGGGTTCATGCAGCAGCGGCCGAAGATGGCGTTCTGGGTGAGCTTCACCTTCTCGGCGACCACGCTCCCCGCCCTCTTGAGCTGCCTCCGCTCGCTGTGCTTGAGCTCCATGAAACCCGCCATGAAGGGGCTGCAGGCAAAGCGGTAGGCTCTGTGCAGCCTCCAGATCCTGGCACCCAGCACGTCCCGCAGGAACTTGAGCCGCTTGCCGTCCACGCCCTCTTCTACGTGCATGCCGAGGAGGGCACGAGCTTCTCGCAGGGCGACGGGGAGAGGCCGAGGCGCTCCGCCATGTTCGCAGTGTGCGGCCCGTACAGGCCCTTCCCGACCTTCATGCGCGCGGGCGGAGCCCAGTCCAAGTGGTCGTGCACCTCTGGGGGAAAGTCGTAGTCCACGAGGAGCAGATAGCTCACCTCCGAGGACTCCCAGTTCAGCCCGGAGAGGCACGTATCGTGCAGCCAGCTCAGCCTTGCGGCGTTTTCTTCTGGCAGGGCGACCGTCTCGCAGGGGCCGTTGGGCATGGGTAGCGACATTGCTGCTGGGTACATGGCGTTGAAGTCCAAGTACGAGATCCAGCTGACGGGCTCCTCGGAGTTGTAGTCCACCTCGCCCAGCTCGGGGTTGTTGGCTTGAGCGAAGGGCTGGAAGATGCAGCTCAGCCCTCCCATGACAGAGGCCCGCACGTCCTTGTAGGCCTGCTCGTCGGTGATGAGGTGAACTCGCGGGCCGAGTGCCGCAGCATGGCGTCCCAGGCGGCTCCGGGCAGCGTGACGTAGTGGATAGGGTCGAGCCCCGACTGCGCCCGGAAGGAGTCCCGATAGCTCTCCATCACGTCCGCCAGGGCCAGGACGTCGGTGTGGAGGTAGCAGTCGTGGAACTCTCGGAAGGTCTCCCACCCCATAACGTTGGCGGTGTTGACGGCCAGCCGGTGGTCCTCTGCGCTCACCGCTTTTCCAGCCAGCACGCTGTCGTAGCAGTGCTGCTCCCACACCGCAGGCATCTCCCACGCCTCGGCGCCGCAGAAGTGCTCGTAGGGCATGGGCAGCTTGCGCAGGATGCAGTCCCACGCCTGCTCCAGGTCGCAGTGCGTCCGCCGCTGTTTGAGAGGCCGTCTTTGGAGCGGAGAGTCGGTCGGCGTGCGCAGCTGCAGCTCGGGGTGAAGCGAGGCCATCAGCGGGAAGAGCTCTGGCAGCTGCTTGTGGGTGCAGGCCCTGAGGTCGTCGATCATGCTGGCCAGGCTTGAGGGGAAGACGTTCATGCTGTCCACGAACCTCAGCGGGCCCCAGCTCATCTGCAGGCACTTCTCGCCCGACTTGCAGAGGACTCGGAGGCTGAGGTGGCTGTAGTCGCCCTGCTTGATCGCGGCCTGCAGGGCGCACCAGCCGCTGAGGGGCCTTGGCGCGGCCTTGGCCTTGGCCTTGGCCTTGGCCTTGGCCCTGCCCTTGGGCGCGGCCTTTGGCGCGGCCTTGGCCATGGGCATGGGCCTCTCGGACTCGCTGCCGCTTCTGCCTCGCTCTCGGTGCCGTCGTTGTCGCTGTCCTCGCCGAGCTCTTCGCGCGGCGCCCTGCAGACAGGAGAGCCCATCGTGGCGATGTAGCGCAGCAGGAAGTGGAAGTCGTAGCCGCCCCCGTTGTGAAAGACCACTGAAAAGGTCTTGGGCGTCTGGGGCCGGGAGTGGCACAGCGCCCCGAGATACTGCCCGGTGCCGTGGCAGTGGTGGAGCTTCTTCTCAGCGGTCTCGAAGGACGCGAGGCACTCCCTGCAATGAGTGGCGGCCCTGTGCTCCAGCTCCTCCCGCCGGGTCATGCTGACGGCCCGAGGTCGGCGTCTCCAGGTGAGGTAGTGGTCGGCCAGCTTGAGAAGGTCGTCCAGCATGGCGCGGACGGCGTGGAACTTGCCGCTGTCCCGCTCGTGGTGCGTGAGCCTCAGCCTCAGCTCCTCGGGTGGCACGTAGCCGCAGCGCCCGACGGCGACGTAGCAGGAAGAAGCCGCGACGGTCTGGCGCGCTGGCTGCTGCTGCGCTATGTGGACCGTCGGGGCGGGCGTGCTGTAGACCTCGAGGTCCGCGTAGCACGTCAGGGGAGCGAGCTCTGCGGAGGCCTTGCCCCTGTAGCGCAGCAGGCTCTTCTCGGGCCCGGGCACGGCACTTTCCGAGTGCGCTCGGCCATCTCTCGATAGCACTGGGTGGCGCGGTGCCGCTGCCAGGAGGCCTTCTTGGCGAAGCGGGCCATGCACCTCGGGCACTTGTACTCCGCGCAGCCGCCGGTGTTGGTGGGCGTGGCTCCCAGGGTCAGCCCCTGCCTGCCGGCCAGCGCCTGGAAGTTGTGGATCAGGCTGTAGTGGCCGCTGTGCAGGAGAAGCAGCACGGTGGGCTGGACGACGCCCGTGCCGCTCGGGGCGCGCTGCTGGAGGACGTGGTAGTACTCCAGCCCGTCCGCCCACAGGGTCTGCTGCCACACGAAGACGAAGACCTCCACCCGCCCGGCGTTGCGGAGCTCGAAGGCCTCGATGTCGTCGAAGTTCACGGGGCGGTCCGTAGGCAGGCCAGAGAAGTCCACCCCCGCGTCGGCCAGAGCGGGCTGCCAGCCCGCGGGGCGGCGTCCTCGGCGGCCGGCCAGCTCGGGGTAGAAGCAGGAGCCCGAGCAGCTCACGGTCTTTGACCGCTCCTGCCAGGTGAGCCCCTCGACCCCGAGGCAGTGGGCGAGGACGCACCACATGAAGCAGCGGTGGTCCTCGTTCTGAGGGTTCCAGATGGCCTTCTTCTTGGCCAGGGTCTCGGGCAGCTCCTTCCAGCATCCTCCCGCCTCGTTGGGCGGCGGGGGCGCGGGCATGTCGGCCAGCTGCTGCGAGGGCGCGGTCAGCAGATACGCCGCCGTGATGCCCACGACGGTCCAGTCGGACTCGGGGAAGCGGGAGCGCTTGAGCGCCACCTCGAACTTCGTCCTGATGGCCGCCATCATGGTTCCGGCGCGGGCCGACGGAGACGCGGGCCTCACGATCCACGGCGCCAGCCTGAGGAAGTAGTGCGTGAGCTCCACCCTGTCCTCGTCCTCATCGTTCGCAGCCGGGCGCGTCAGCAGGATCTGGAAGCTGACCTTCGCGAGGAAGGGCAGCCGAATTGCCAGCAGGTCTTGGAGCCGGTCCACCAGCAGCCGCATGGCGTCGATGGTGAAGACCTGCTGCCCAGGAAGAGGGCGCAGCCGCAGCTCGCGGGTCCAAGCGGCCCCGCGCGGGCGCAGCTCTGTCACAGCGGCCTCGGCGCTAGGCGCGCGCGGCTCCTCCAGAGGCACCGCCCGGACAGCGCTGAGCCCCAGGCGGCCCCAGATGCGATCAGACAGCTCGGAGATCATGGCGCGAATTGGTTTGAGCTGAATAAATTGCTTTCTATAGAAAAAAATAATAAATATTCCGTCGGTTGGACGAGCACCCTCAGCATTGCCGACAACTCCTGCTTTGTCGACCGCGAAACAACCATGCACCACAAGCATCGCCCTTTTTTCAGTCATGTTCTGTCCGGGATTCGGCATCTACCGCGTCACAGCGAGTCGGCGGCGCGGCCCTGCAGGTTCAGCGCCGTGAGGAGCTCTCTGGAGGCCTCATCCAGCTCCTTGCGCGCCTTCTCGACCCGCTCCAAGGCAGCGAGGGTTGCGCTCTTGGCCGTCAGCGAGACCGGCAGCCGCTCAGCGATTTTCTTGCTGACGAGCTGCTCCTCCACCTCGTAGAGCTCTCTCTCGATCTGGGCCAGCGAGGCGATGTCGCTCGTGCAAGTGCGGCGCTGCCTCAGGGCCTCGCGCTTCTCGCGGAGCGCTTCCATAGTCTCCCAGCTCTCCTCCTTGCGCTCCT